AGCTTCCTCCTCCTGCACAGAGACTGCAGGGCTGCTGGTGGGAGTCCCCTCTCGTGAGTTGCTGCAGCTGGAGCTGGAGTTGCTGGAGCTGGTGCTGGAGGAGCTGGAGCTGGAGTTGCTGGAGCTGGTGCTGGCTGCTGGGCTGTCATCCTCATCCCCAGCAGCGTGGGAGCACAGCAGCCTCCTGGCCTCTTCACTGCACTGGCCCACAATGATGTTGATGGTGTCCTGGACCAGTGGCACTGTGTGTTCCTCCAGGATGTCCTGCAGCCTCTGGACCAGGATCTCCACATCTGGACCAAAGACACAGAGGGCATGCAGGATGCTGCTCTGTGCGTTCCTTGCCAGCCACCACTGGTCCCCATAGATGGTCTCCAGCCTCTGGTGCAGCCAGGGCCGCAGCGGGTCCAGGAGTTGCTGTTGTCGACGGAAAAGTTCTGCCCAGCGGTCAGGCAGGACACCACCAACAGCTTGGGGTAGTGTCCACTGTGAAGAAGATTGATGGGATGCCACAGGGGAATGGGGGCTGTTTCCTTGAGGGCCATGAGGAGCTCTCCCTGCCTGGCTGATGGCATCTGGCAGCTCATCAGGGGCTGTGATGACAATCTCCATGGAGTCATCAGAAAACCTCACAGTCTCTATTATTCTTCTGCAGAGTGGGCACACAGGATTTATGTGTGTCCACCGCAGGATGCAGCCCCGGCAAAAACAGTGGTGACAGGGCAGAGCAGAAGCCACATCCTTCTGAGTGTCCTGGCAGATGGAGCAGTTGCCATCTGTTTCCGAAGCCATTTTTGTGCCCTGCAGCACACTGGGGAGAGCTGAGGATCAGGAGCTGCTTGCCCTCTCTGGTGTCACACACCACAGGAGGGAGACACCATGGTCACTGGTATCCCAGGAATGGGAAGAAGAATTGTCCAGGCTTCTCAAGAACAACACACTCCCAGCTCCCTGAGCCCTGTCACTCACCCCTGACCACCCCAGGGGATGTTGTCCCACACAGCCAACCTTCACTGCTGCAAGCACCCACAGTGCACAGCTGCCAAACTAGCCAGGGCCAGGGAAATAGGAGGGATTGCTCTGGGTCTGCATTGAGATCCACTCAGCACCAGAGAAGCCTGGCTCAGTCCTCCAGACCTCACAGTCCTGCCTGGATGGACTTCAGGCTGGAGCCAGACTGGCCAAGGCTCTGCCTACAGAAAAATATAAGCAGTGAGGGATGATATGTCACAATGCATCCCCCAGTGATGTCACAATCTGCTGCTCAGTGACATCACCTTCCACCAGCAGGTGATGTCACAATGGGATGTCTTTCCCTGCCAGTACTCAGCATCAGGAGAAAAAGGGAAAGACTGTTTCCTGTTTTCAACTTCTGCATTTCTGTGTTGCTCTCTCCCTCAGCCACTGTATCATGCATCCATGGCCTTGTGTCTTATCCCTGCTCCTGACCCCTTGCCAAGATTTCCTGTGAGGGGCAGAGTGGTGGGAACAATCAGCATGGACTGCTTGCAGCTGGATGACACCTTCTCCTCTCACTGCTTTTCCCTGGGCAATGCCAGGATTTGGAGGACTTGGGTGGTTAGTACCCAGCTCTGTGTGTGAGTCTCCCACCCCTGTGGGTCATGCCCCTGCCTCAGGGAGAAGCAGAAAGGGGCATTTTGCTCCAGCCTCATCCAGTGCCACTGGCACTCACTCACAGTGCCAGGTCCCTCTCTGCTTGCCAAGTCTCCATGCTTCTGGAAGACAGTGCATTGGTGCTCCTCAAAAGCACGAGTGATGGAGCCTGGCCCCACACCTGCAGGAAGGAGTTGGAGTTGCTGTCCCTCCAGAGTGGGGTAGAAGGGCTGGTGGCACCCTGCTCACGACTCTGGAGAGCCCAGGATCCATCACCACCTGGGCTGGGCTGTCCCACCATCCCTGCTACATCTTTAGCTCCCAGGAAGCCGTGAAGGTCAGGCCCACATACGTTACAATAACTCATAGCTCAGAGAAAGGGACGAGACTGCCTTGCCCAGGTGGCAGAGGTGTAGGATTGAACATTTGGCTCCTGCACCCGAGTCTTCAGCCTTTTGCCTTCGTGCAGCCTTTCTTCTGTGGGCAAGGGGAAGGTGTGTTTTATGAGAACAAGCTGCTCTTTTCTTCTCATCTTCTTACATATCAAGCCTCAATTTCTTCATTGAGCTCGAAAGCTGGAAGTCCCTGTTTCTAAGATGGTTCAGATAAACTGAACTTTAATGCTTTACAACCGAGAAGTTGTTTTCAGAAGTACATGAAATACTGCAGCCTTGAGAGCAAGGGGAAGAAGCCAAAGGAGCAGACACTGTCTTTTCAGACTTCCCCCAGATCAGTCTACATGTGTTCCTCCAGACACACTCTGAATATTGCTAGTAACATCTTGCTCCACATTGTTGTCTAAATCAGGCATGAGGGAAGGCCACTAGCCTGGCATGTGGCCTCCAGCAGAAGCTGCTGTGGTGGACTATGTGCTGGTGCAGAATCTGTTGCTTAAAGCTCCCAGCTTAACACATTTATTAATACATAGCTCCAGATTAATACATTTTACTTCAGTCAGTCAGGTATTGGATTTAATTATTTTAGCTTTGTGCTCTCTCTCTTCTATATAACCAGTGGTAATAGCAAGTAGACGGAAGCCTTGGGTGCCAGGCCACCTGTCCCTGCTCCCACTGGCTCTCCATTTCCTTTTTCTCCTCATTTTGGGAGCAGATCCTTGCTTAGCCATGGAAGGATGAAAACATATACAAAAAACATTTACAGAAAGAAAATAAATCAGTGGTTTTCTGCAATGGAAGATTTGGCAGTTCTTGTTTCTTAAGGTTTGTTTGTTTTCCTTATATTTGAATCGTCAATAATTTTGCTCACTTTTTTACTGTGGAAAGTCTTAAAGCACACGATGATTTTCAGTCACTTATTTGGCAGCAACTTAAGCTTTAGTCTTGAATGCAGATTCATATCTCCAGAAATCTGGAAGCCTTTCCCAACAATGCCTTCCCATCTAATAAAAATAGGAAAGTAGGGGGGGCGAGAAGTTTGGAAAACACCAAGAGGGGCAGAACATTTGGGAGCAAGGTAAATCAAAGTGGAAACAACAAAATTAATTTTGTTTTCTCTTTGATTACAATAGAGTTTTCCTTTGAGCTTCTGGATTTATAGACTGTCCCATGCATTTTACAGGTAGTAGTCTGCTCAACAACATCACTACAAGACAAGTTTTTTTTCTCTTCTTAGGTTTACTTTTGACAAAAATATGTTCTGCTGAGACAAAATATCCTGGTTTACCCTTAAGATTCCCACTGTGAAAGCCAATGCTCAGCAACACCTGTGTGCTTATTAAGGAAGTCTTGTTAAGTGAGTTCAAAGCAAAACAACAGATGACAAAATGTTTTCAGTCCAGGAGCTGCGTTACTTAATGGCTAGACATACCTCTTATTTCCTATTCCTTACATGAAAACACAAAAATTTAAAAGGAAAATGAGAAATTGAACCTACTTGAAAAGCATTGGTCTTGAAGAGTATTTTTCATTCTCCATCAGTCACAACATGTGAAAAAAAACTTGAAACCGAGCTGCCAGCAAAGTGACGAGTTACTATATGGAAATATTTTATGTGACACATTTCTACAGTCTTCTAAATGGGATTTAATTAATTGAGTTTTATTCTTATTTTGACACACCCATGGTTTAATATGTACTTCTCTGCTAGAAAATCTGTTATTTTACAATCCAGTCATTTTATGAGTTAAATTCTGACCAAGAGAAGCTTGAAGCAGTCAGTAAGAGCAAAAAATTTGATAATATCACCCACAAAATTGCTGAACTCTCTAAAACATAATTAATTCAAGCCAGATAGAGTGAAAGTAGGCTCTTCAAACACCTTACCCAGCTCTTTGCAACCCCTTTGTCACTGTAAGAAGCAACATGGTAAATGCCCATCCCTTGGACACATCACAGCATAAACATCTCTCAGGTTCTCCAGATCCTCCAGTCTGCTTGATGGCCTGCAAGCTCATCTGAATATGGTGTCAGCTTTGGGGACAGGCCCCAACTAAAGGTTCCCAGTTAACAAACCTGCTGTGCCGGCTGGTGTTTTACAGTGTGCACAATTATGCTTAAACCCCACTTTGTTTGCCAGGCAAACTGTGATTGACAGGTCAAATCAAAACTGAAAGGACCAAGAGCCTCTGCTGTTTAGGAAAGGTTAGCGAAAAGCTCACATCCCACGCTCCATTGCAAAAGAAGACACGGATTCTTGATGGCTATGCCAGGCTTGCTCAGCCCTTGGACAGCTGCTCTCTCGCATTTCCACAGGGGTTTGCATTTAGCCCTGAAGACCCGACCAGTGCCAGGAGACCAGTGAGTACAAGAGCTCTTTCTGCTCGTGGTGGAACCAACCAGCTCCATTCTACATTTAGTTTCTATCAACTCGCTGTGATTCCAGTTTCATGAGCTGCCGCCGAGCTCTGCCCG